CTAGTCCTCATTAGTTCAGAGTCTCAGTAAAACCTGGACTCTTGAGTTAGTCAGCTGCTCTTAAAGCTCTTATCGCAACTTCATTTGAAGTCCCCAAATGTCTGTTCTATGATTAGCATTTACACAGGCTGAGAACTATCTGTATTTTACTTGAATGACTTGAATATGATGCCAAAGCATAATATCTGCTTAAATCAAAATGATGTAATATTTATATCAAATATTCTATTAAATAGTTAATGAGATACTTTAGTCTGGAACAAAGATGGACAGCTTAACCAAATTACTTAACAGAAACATTTCTTTAGGACTGGCTCCTTAAAGGGGCCCTATAATGCACATTTAGGTGTATATCAGTATGTAGTGTCTCTACTTTAAAGAGTCCTCTCCTGCTGATGTTCAGGTGTATATCAGTATGTAGTGGCTCTACTTTAAAGAGTCCTCTCCTGCTGATGTTCAGGTGTATATCAGTATGTAGTGTCTCTACTTTAAAGAGTCCTCTCCTGCTGATGTTCAGGTGTATATCAGTATGTAGTGTCTCTACTTTAAAGAGTACTCTCCTGCTGATGTTCAGGTGTATATCAGTATGTAGGTATAGTCTCTACTTTAAAGAGTCCTCTCCTGCTGATGTTCAGGTGTATATCAGTATGTAGTGGCTCTACTTTAAAGAGTCCTCTCCTGCTGATGTTCAGGTGTATATCAGTATGTAGTGTCTCTACATGTCTCCATGCTTTAATGTTCAAACAGATCTTTATTTTTCTCATACTGCCTGTGCTGCAGCACCTCTTTTCACCCTCTGTCTGAAACCAGAGCCCAGTCTGCTCTGATTGGTTAGCTGGCCGGCTCTGTTGTGATTGGTCAACCGCTTAGAGATGTCCCGCCCCCTTAGCCTATCACGTACAATGTGTTGGAGCGCTAGCCAATAGAAGCGCGAGTGTTACTTAGTGATGTCATTATATTCAGGAAGTAAACAAAGGAGCCCAATGGAGGCGTTTCAGGCTTTTGGGGGTGAGAGTGTGTGTGAGACAAATTGCCGGGTTAGTTTTACCTTAATTGAAAATCAGTTGACATGTTTACATAAACAACCCAAAACATAACTAAACAGTAGCAGAAGAAAAAGCGACTGATAACGTTTGGAGGGAATGACAGTGGATCGCTCCACCTGTCCTCTCCAACTCCCCACAGACTCCATAATGAGCATAATCTTCCATCTGGCTCCTCGCTTACAGCAAACTCAACCCAAAAACTGTTGTCTGAATGAGCTAAATTTGATGCTGCTCTAATTAGTTCTGTGTCGAGGAGCTGCAGCGCCGGCAAGGCTGTGCCTGTGGTGACCAGAATCTAATCAATCATCAATCATTCAGAACGCAGTAACTAAGTCATGAGTCCTGAAACTAAAACTAACCTCAACATATGTTAGGCACTGAGTTTCTCTATGATTTACAGCAACTACAGGCTGCTCAGATGTCTGGTCCTTAGTCACTTCTTTGTGAGAGTGTTTGAATCATTGTTTGAATGTGTAGTGCCTTCCCAAAACTAAAACATAACGTAGAAAAGTGTGAGGGAATGGGTTTGTATTTGCTCTAACAAGGGCGCGCATGTCCAGCTAACTAGCCTGTAGTACACTTCAATAGTGTTTTATTGTCAGAGTTTATAGATTTTCTATCTTCACAGTCTACTGTATATTTTCTACTTTTTAATGCCGTTGTAATTCTATTTTGAGATGTTTGAATTCCTGAATTGTTTATTTCTACTCTTTAATGTCTACTTATGTGCAATGCCTTGTTTTTTTTTTAATGTTATTGCAACGTAAACATTTCGCAGTTTGGGATCAATAATGTACCTCTTATCTTATCTTTTCTTAGCATGTACTTTCAGTGCTATGCAATTGTTTTGTAGGCCAAATATTCCAAAACCCTAAAAGTCCTGTTGACTCAATTACCATTTACCCTAGAACAAAACACCAAGTATACACTGCCCATGCAACAAGTATTTTGTATTATAAATGAAACTGTAATACTTATTAATACCTATTGTACACAGCCAGTCTTCTCCCTGACAGAGACTTCTGAATCCAAAGTTAATTCTATAATTTCTTCTTAAAAAAATTCTAAATCAATAGACACTTTTGGACTGGATTCTCTGTTTCTAAAGAAACATGCTACCACTCTCACCGGGACAATTTAATTACTAACATAATTAACACCTCTTTTAGGGAGGGAAAATTCCCAAAAGACTGGAAGTTAGCCATTGTTGTGCCAGTCCACAAATCCGGGGACACAACTGATGCAAACAACTATAGGCCCATTAGTGTTTTACCTGTCATGTCTAAGATCTCTGAGAAATGTGTAGCTGAGCAATCGACTGGACATCTTAACAGTAGTCCTTTCACACTACACCCCATGCAATTCGGCTTCCGAGCCAATCATTCCACCGAGACCGCAATTGTTCCCTTGTGGAAAATATCAAATCAAAAATGGACAAAGGAGGCATTGTTGGAGCAATCTTCTTAGATCTTAAGAAAGCTTTTGATACAGTCAATCATCAAGTACTCATTCACAAAATGTCTTATTTTAATTTCTCACCCAGTGCAATAGACTGGATGAGTTTCCATCTGTCAGATAGAGTTCAGTGTGTAAGGGTAAGTGGCGAGACATCACCAGCCCTGAGGAATGAACTCGGTGTACCCCAGGGATCTATCCTGGGCCCAATTCTATTCAGCCTGTATATAAATGACTTGCCATCAGTATGCTGATGACACTGTCATTTATGTCCATGCAAAAACCAAGGCCCAAGCTGCTGCCAAACTAAGTGATGCAACGGTACATGTACATCAATGGCTTACTGACTCACAGCTATATCTAAACGTTAAGAAGACAGTCTGTATGTTTTTTAGCAAGACTAAACCAACACTGTATCACACTGTGAACCCAAGGTCTATGTGTCTGGGGAGGTCATTCAAACAGTTACACATTTTAAATATCTAGGCATTATCCTTGACACTACTCTATCCTGCAAATAACTAAATACAATCTAGCAAACTTTAGATATATAAGGAACTGTTTGACAACACCTGTAGCAAAACTCTATATGACTGCCATGATCATTCCCCACCTAACATACTGTATGAGCAGCTGGACCCAGGTGAATAGCACAACATGAAGGCCTATCCTATCACTTCACAAACAAGCTCTCAAAGTTTTTGGACAGAAAGCCTAAGCTATACCACCATTGCAAAATCCTGGACAAACATAACCTTTTAAAACATTTTAAAACACACTGATGCATGTCTCATTTTTAAGACTAGAAAACGGCAAGGCACCACCAGCACTCTGCACTTTTATACAGCAGAACAATTCAAACAGCAGAACCACAAGGTCTGCCCTAAGAGGGGACTGTGTAGTCTCTCTTAGGTCCAGTTCCTTTGCTAAACACTGTTTCTCTGTGAGGGCATCAACACTCTGGAACACAAAACCAATACAGATAAGGAATAACACCTCCTATCATACATTTAACCACTATCATAAGAACTGGCTTTTAAGCAATCAAAAATGTGAACACTTTTAACTGTATCATAGTATGATAGTATTTCATCTGTTTGCATGTTTGTCTGTTCCTATTTATTGTTGTACTGTTGTTGTCTGTTGCTGAGTGTATGCTTTTTAATAATGTTTTTATTTCTCTAGTCTTGTTGTGGTTATTTAACATCTTGCCAAAAGGACAACAGTTGCTGGCTAATACTGGCACGTTTACAGCAATGTTGATCAATGTGCACTGCCCTTTAAATAAAGAAACAAACAAACAAACAAAAATGCTTCACACTGCGATACATGTACAGTGCTGTCTTTATTTCTGTGTGTATACATAGATCATGGTGCTTACTTACGCACCCTTTCAGAGTGTTTTAGTCTTAAAAGGAGTCGGACAAAGATTAAGACCACCTCACTAAACAATGTCCATGACCTGCCTTTAAAAAAAAAAAAAAACAGTACCCCGAATGACACATTTTTCCTTTTGACAATCTTAGTTAAAGGTTCAATTACCCGCTTGTTAAAAATGTTTGAACTAGTAAGTTGGCTTTGATTTGAGATTGTTCTATCCAACTGCTTTTTCCGAGGTCAAGATGCTTTTAAACTAAGCTTCACGACAAAACAAACAAAGTGCTTGGAAACATTGAAGGTTTTAACATCGGCAACTGATAAAACACTATCCTTTTTCCATTCTTCATGTGGTTTAAAGGTCAGGAACAAGCTAGTAATTGGACTTTGAGTCGAGGTTATTTTGTTAAAGGGCTGTTTCCAAATTCAAGAGTGATCTAGCTCGCCATCGACCTTTCCAAACAATGGCACGCTGATGAAAACGAGAATCCGCTTTCGTCGTCTCCTATCTGAAATGAAACAGCAAGAGAAGAGTTCCTAGCTCACAGCATGAGAGGGATTAGTAATGCCTTTACTGAACTAGTTATTTCTGCAAATCAGGATATCTCCATGTGTACTTTTTGCCAAACATGTTGGTTGTCATATCAAGTTTACAAAATATACCCCAAAAAAACAACGGTAGAGTGAAAAAGAGCACCACGCTTTTTACGCTGCTAGGGACCGTCTAGCACTAATGTACATTTCCCAAAGATATTGAAGTGACTGTTATTTTGTATATATTGATTGTTGTGTTTTTATTTATGTCTTAATGTGTGCATATGTATACAGTAAATGTGTCTGTTGATTGTGTATTTATAAGATATACATATTTTTATACATATTTTTATATATTTTTGTATTCAGGATTGTGGGAAACGGTATTTCGATCTCTCTGTCTGTACACACAAACTGAAAGATTGACAATAAAGTTGACTTTGACTTTGACAAACAACAGGACTTTCTACTGTGTGTACATGTAGATGCTGCGGACAGTCTATTTCCACTTATAAGCTAAACCCTGCTGCGGGGCTGAACATTACATAAAACATGACAGTACATTATTTATCAGAGAGGCAAACTCACCCGCTCCGCCGACTGTGCCGTGCCGAAGAAGATGGGGATGAAGGCGAGCCAGATGATGCAGGTTGTGTACATAGTAAATCCAATGGGTTTGGCCTCGTTGAAGGTCTCTGGCACGCCACGCGTCTTGATGGCGTAAACAGTGCATGTGACCATCAAGAGGATGCTGTATCCCAGCGAGCAGATGAGCGACAGGTCGGAGATATCGCACTTGAGGACACCGCGAGCGTTTGAGGGATCCTGCGTACGCTGCTCACCGTAGTCCACAAAGGTGTGAGGCGGGTCGGCGGAGAACCACACCAGAACGCCCAGAAGCTGGACTGAGATGAGCGAGAAGGTGATGACCAGCTGGGAGGCCGGGGAGATGAACCGCGGCGCCGTCACCGCCGTCTTGCCCTGCTCGAAGATGCGGTGGATGCGGTTGGTCTTGGTGAGAAGCGCGGCGTTACTAAAACACATGCCGAGACCCAGGAAGATGCGTCGGAAAGAGCAGACGACCACATCGGGTGCAGCGATCATGGGGAAGGTGATAATGTAACACAGGAAGATGCCTGTCAACAGCACGTAGCTCATCTCCCGCCCTGAGGCGCGGACAATGGGGGTGTCGTTGTAGCGGACGAAGGTGACGATGGCAAAGGTTGTAGCGATGATGCCAAGGATGGAGATGAAGACGGGAAACAGAGCCCAGGGCGAGCTCCACTCCAGCTTGATGATGGGGATCGGCTGGCAGCTGGTTCGGTTCTGGTCGGGTCTTTTCTCGTAGGGGCAGATCTCGCAGGTGAACTCGCTGGCCTGGAAGTGGTATCCCTCGCAGCGCTCGCAGTGCCAGCAGCACGGGACACCCTTCACCACCTTCTTCCTCTCGCCCGTCTGGCAGGGCAGGCTGCACACCGAGACCGGCAGCGAGGAGTCGCCCGTCGTCCACTGGAGGGTCTCCATCTGAGGAGAGAGGGGGGGGAAACACAATCAGAATCAGGTTTATTACCACATAGGTTTACTCATTTGATCTGTTTTATTTGTTCTATGTCCTTGTATATATGTTGCACTGTTGGAGGAGCCTGTGACTTAAGTGTTTCATTGCCATATCTACACCGTAGCTAATGTGCAAATGACAATAAAGCCTTGAAACTTGAAGCATACATCTTCGAAGCCCAACAAACAGCTCAGCAACATTGGAACGTTTATCCTATCATTAACGGAAAAAATAAGAGGGAGGAACCAGAATCCTAAACAGGTTTATTGCGGCTATAAATGTTGCGATAACACATTATGAATCCTATTTATTTTTTCCGACCGCAGATTTTGCAGCTTGTCCACACCTATTTGAATAAGATAACGTTTTCAGTCTGAGTTTAAACTTCCCTACCTACATTTGTTTTAATTAATTACAACAAATTGGCATCGTCAAGCAGACAAACGTACATGTTGCATCTGAGATACTTTACTGTTTGTATTACAGACTAAATCATCCAGCCCCTTCAGTTAAGATGTCGAAGTATCGTTGGGCAAGATACTGGACCCCAAATTACCCCCGTAGGCATGTTCAATGATGGGTGATCTCTGTAGAAGTCTTTGTAAATTGCTTTGGATAAAAGGGTCAGCTAAATGAAATGTAAAAGTCCTTAAAGTGCTCTATGACAACGGAGAAAACACCATCTGTTATTGTCGTTCATCTCCAATATCCAGGTATTGAAATGATGCCTTGTACCAGTCTCATGAACAGTTTGACAGATGCTTACAAAATATGAAAAGATTGAATATTCTTGATCCTTACAGTCAGATGCAGCTGATTGGTCCAGTGTCCGATGACCTTGTACTCGGCCGTTGACCTGTTGTTGATCTGATACTGGAAAATGTCGTAGCGTCCAGGAGCGTCGCCGTTCTCGTTAAACATGACCGGAGTCCCTGCACTTCCTGTAGAAAACACAAAGAAAAGATTACATACCGAGGTTAGACCTTTCTGATTATCATTTGTGTACGTTTCTCTGTTGGCTAGGACAGTAAGTCGTGTGATCACGCTTGTATTTTTAAGCTTGTGACCAGTAGTTTCGTGATGCTGGACTGTTTGTTTCCCACTACTATATCTGTCCAAACTACTTTATCCTACATCATTGTTGAAGTGGGCAAACCTACACTTGGTCTGCATTTTATCTGAGAGGTAGCTCAATGATTACGGTGGGAAATCCCTCGAGGCTCCAGGATAAGATATGCTGTATCTCAATACTGAAGTCATTAAACAATCTTATTGCAATTTGATGATTATTTCAATAACGTCTTGAATCATATTTCTGTTTTGCAGCTGCAGTTTGGCCACACTTGTTTAATCTAATGAGGTAACATTTTCAGCCCGTTCATCACACAACCCTCCTTTGTATTGCACCAGATCGGCATTGTCAAGCGGACACATTTAAAAAGTGCATCTGAGAAACTTGAATGTTCCCAATACAGTCTACAGTCCAATTTAACTGAATTCAATCATGTTCAAATCCAGATCCATTCTTGAAGTCCATGCATCAATAAAATATTGCTACACCATGTTGCATCAATCCCACCCTTTTCACTGATTGGCTCCCGGTCTTGTCACTCAAAGTGCTCCTTTGAATGTAGTCTTAAGAACATGTGAAATGCAAAATACACAGTTATGCTGGAGGAAAATGTGTACAGCTCTATTTTGCAAAATATGTGTGTTGTAGATTACACTGCAGGACGTTTTTTTTATTCCACGACGTGCGTTCATCTGGAGATGTTTGGGGGGTTTGTTATCCTGCTCCAGGACTCTCCAGGAGAACTGAACCATCAAACTGTGTTTAACGGTTGACCTGCTTTGCCATGTTAGACAGCTACTCTTGATTGATTTTCCTTTATTCAGTGAAAAGGCATCTTGACTGAATCTGTTCGAACTGACATTAATCCAAACTGACCAACCACAACCCTGTTGTCTGCCCAGTGTGTGGTAACCACATTATTGTATCTCCATGTGTTGTCTTTTTAAGCTGTTATTTTTCTTTCTGGTTTTTGTGACGATGCAGGTTTTCCTCAGCGTGACTCATCTTATCACAGTTTCTTCGCCAACTCGTCAATAAACCAAACAAACAAACGCCTTGCTGCCATATTGACTTAATCCTGCCAATTTAATATCTCATGCTGTCTGACACTGTTCACATTTAGCCTGCAGATTCATATTATTTTTACAACCAACATCTAAAAGGGATGACTTCAGTTAGATTGAAATGTTCTGGTTGTCAGCGTAAATCATGATGTAAAAACATTTTAAACTATAATATTCTGAGGTTTTACACACTTTGGGTTCTCACCTGGGATACTGGTTATTCCCTTTAATGATTTACCTGACCATTATTTTAAATATTTTTTTTATCCTATTTTTACCAATATTTCCAATTTTCATTACAAAAACTGATAAATATAATTTTTTTGGATACACATTTTTAATAATTGAAAGACACATTTTTGAAAACCCCCAAAAATCTGATTCAAATATAAGCTGTAGGGACATTTTTCTTTTAACAAGGAGTTATTTACTAAACAATATATACAGTATATAAATGTATATTTGGTTTTAAATGGAAAAAAATTACACTATATCACAGTTTTTATCCAACCTTGTCCCTTTAAACCCTATACATGACATTCGTATACAAAAATTCCTAATTGTTTGGAGGGAAATGCCATCTAAAGTACTTTTTGTACTAAAATGATTAAGATGTCTTTCTTAAATACATTGACACCTTTTCACTTCATGCATCTATAGGGTAGATTAGATAGCCAACTGATTGCATCGACACGAAGAGTAAATACATAAAAGAGGTGGTCTGAAACATTTCCTGTATTTTGTCTGTGTCTTCGAGCATCACAAACAAGGCCCCAATTGTTTAAATCCAAAATGTTGAAGTGTTCAAACATTACCAAGAAGACCTGAATGTTCATGTAATCCTTCTGAACTTAACGTTTTGTTTTCAGATGCAGCTTCTTTTTCTTGCTACTGCTGTATTCACTGTAATGTTATTTTTGTGGTTCAGTAGTACTCCTCACTGCAGGGCAAATTCAACACCGGGGACAGCATAGTCTCAAACTGGAAGCAGATTAGTTTAGCGTCTTTGAAGCCGAGAAGAAGAGCAGCAGATTGAAGCTAAAGAGCAGAACAACATGAACAAATATAAGAATGATTTATAATGAAGTGAGTGGGCGCCGGTTTGATTCAATCCTGCCCCGATTTCCTTTTTCGGCGTGAATAAAAGCTTCAGAAATCACATCAGCATGACGATGAATCACAGAAACTCGCCTTAGGGTGCAGAACCCCCACCCAACCAACACCACCTCGTCCTCTACACCCCCACTTTACTTCACTTCATTTCACTCCAGAGAATCTGTTGATACAGAATTAACGTTGTCGCTTCTCATTATTGCCAAACATGGTAATCATCATAACTCTGTGGTGACACATGCTGCAGCTTTGTCATTCAACAAAATAAGACAAATCTGTGGAACCCATGAAAGAAAGTTATTCGGGGAAAACATGACCGCTGGATGCACCTTTAAGATCAAACAACACACACTTATAGGCAGGGGTGCACATAACTGGTACGCAGGTACGCATGCGCGGCACAAATCTGAATTGCGTAACGTCACTTGTGTCACTACGCGCCTTTGCGTACCTCAAAACATCAAAACAAAACACATATTTCGTCTACACGTGTTTCTTGTCAACACTCAATGGAGTAAACTACTAGGCATGTCAAAAAACCCAAAGACATTAAGCAGCTACGTTGCCGTTTCGCTCCCTGCAAAAAATCTTTCTATGACTGATTGAACTGGAGCTGGGTGAGGACATAACCGACGGACCTGTGACGCTTTCCAGGAGGCAGAGGCTTAGATCACTGGACGACAGAGTTGGTCGCCGTGTGCACAGACAGGGTTAACGTCGGTATAAACAACAGAATTGTGCCAAAAGTCCGCCAACTGGCTGCGGTGGGAGACTCCCCTGTGCACATTCTGTGCCCCGCGCACACACTGGAGAACTGCGCAAAATCATCTGATCACAACGTTCACGCTCTGTGGTCAAGCTGCTGCAGTTTTATTTACAACAAAGTGGAGTGAAACACACAGCTGCAAACTTACTCAGGGTGTTATGGAAGAGTTTGAAATCAGACAGAGGTGGAAGAAGTACTCAGATCTTGTGTAGGAATACTCAGTTACAGTAAAAGTCCTGCATTCAAAATGTTACTCAAGTAAAATTAGAAAAGTATTATCAAAATATAGTGAAAGTAGCGACAGTAAAAGTATTCATTGTGCAGATTGGTCCATTTCAGAATAATATATATGATATGTTTTATAATGATTGATCATCAAAGTGTTCTCAAAGCTGGTAAAGGTGCAGCTAGTTTCAATGACTTTGTATACTGCAGGGTAGCTTGTGAATTTACTCCAGGTGGAACTAAAGTCTGATTTAACACTTGATTAGATTTCACATCATTCATCCACATCTGTAAAGTAACTAAAGGTATTAAATACATGTAGTGGAGTAAAAGTAGAAGTACAAAGTAGCATAAAATAGAAATACTCAAGTCAACTACAAGTATCTCAAAATTGTACTTGAGTAAATAAGTGTGCTTTGTTACTTCCCACATTTGAAATCAGATATGACTTCAAGTCATGTGATCATTTCTTAGTATTTGATCCTTCAACTTGGCCTCAGGAAATGCAAGGACTTCACAGTTTTGGCAACAAGTTTTGGAGAAAGCAAATCGGAGGCTTAAAAAGAGACAGGGAGGTGCATCTTCATCATCTTCATCATCTAGCATGCAAGAAGTGTAAATTGAGGACAGTGAAGGAGACACTGAGGAGGACCACGCTTCGTGTGGGGTGAGTACCAAACGCTGTCTCTTGGTACTCATCTGAGTAACTCACTAAAAAAGTTATGTGCACCCCTGCTTATAGGGTATTTTAGGCAAAAAAAAAACTGTTATAGAAAACAAGACTAAACGTAACGGTGCAGTGAAATAGATGAAGATGTGTGGATTTAATAAAAGGCGGCAAACAGAAAGGCCTCCACCTCGATTTAAAAGAACCTGCAGTTTTCTGGGGGATTATTCCAGATGCCTATAACCCAAACACTGCTTCTCAAAGTTAAAGGGGCCCTATTATGCTCATTTTCAGGTTTCATATTTGTATTTTGTGCCTCTGTCCTGTCCGTGATTTCAATTGTTCCTCTTTGGCTACACAAACAATTACCTCAGTTCTGTCTATTTAATTTAAGATCATTCGGACGTATCCAATAATTCATTTGTCCACTGCACATACTTAGTGCTTGTATTGGACCATATTCCAATGTTGAAATATGTAGTACATGTATGTGTCTGCTGCATAATTACTGTATCTTATGTTTTTGTTTCCGAAGATTGACGAATGCAGATATTAAAAAGAAGAGGCCCCAGTTCGGTGCCTTGAGGAACTCCGCATGTAAGTCGCAACAATCTAATGGATGCACATTGTCATTCGTAGTGGCGAACCGTGTCTATCACAACTGGACCTTCTGTAGACACACACACACCCTCCGCCGCTCTCATTCAGTGCAACGGCCAGGGTATTCTATCAAGGATATAGAATACATTGGTTGAAGGATATTCTACCCAGAGACCCAGAAAAATATCTGATTGGTTGCTTTTTTTTTCTAACACAAAACCATTGAAATGCGTAGTGCATGGACCGAGAAGGACAAACAAATCAACGTAACACTGTAATATTACAGATCAACAACACAGATACGATTCTCATTTATTCATTTTACATACATTTTATTTATATAATTAAATTGATTTTTTGTTAGTTTTATCTGAGTGTTCCAGGGTATTCTCTGAATACCTTGAAGGCCCTGACGGTTTGCCACTGGGCATTCG